TTGTTATTTTTTTTTTTTATTTTATTTTTATTTTTTATTCCCCCTCCTTTTTTTTTCTCTGATTGGAATTAATGCAGAATTCTTGCAGAAGCTTTGATTTTTTTTTTTTTTTTTTTTTTTTTAAATTTTGTTTTGCCCGATGTCCTTTCCCCCCACCCGACCCCCCGGTGCCGGGACGGACCCTACCGACGGCTCGTCCCTACCTGCGGCTCCCGGGGCCGCCTCTGCCCCGTTGCCGGGACCCCTGCCTGCCCCGGGGCCGCCGTCGGGGCTCCCCGTCCTCCCTGCGCTGCCCCGCGCCCAAGAGCCCAACCGCGGAGCGGTGCGCGGCGGCGGGGAGCGCTCTTTCCGCCCGTGCGGCTCCGAGCGGCCCCAGCGCCCTCCGTTCCCGTCGTTGGGGTTTTTAAAATTTGTTTGTTTGTTTTAAAAAAGCGTTAAACGGCGGCATTTAGGCTGCCCCCTTGCCTCTCTCCCCCGCCGCAGCGCGGTGCCCCCGTGCCCAGCTCCGCGGGATGTAGCGCGGGTGCGGTGCGGGGGACACACACACCTGGGGCCAGGCAGCCCTCGGGGCCGCCGCGGTGGAGGGGTCTGGGGGGGAAGGTGGTGTAGGTGGAACTGCTGGTGGGCTTGCGGTGACCCCCCCGCCCCCAGCGGCGCGGGGACGAGCGCAGTTTCCGCGGGGGAGCTCGGTAGGAACCCGCGGGCCATCTCCCAGGTTGTAAACCGAAATAACGCGGCGCGGAGAGGCGCGGAGCCCGGTGCGGTTCGGGCCGGGGGTGCGTGTGTGCGTGGGCAGGAGAGGCGGGGGTTGGGGGGGGTCGTGGGGGGAGGCCAGAGAGGCAGGCAGGCACTTAAAACATCCGCATGGCAAAATTAAAATTAATAAAATGGATTTCCTCTGGAATATTCATGCTCCCTCTAATGTTTTTCCCTTGCAGGGGTATGTTACTGGATTTTAAGAGTCCATTACTCAAAAAGCATAAGGCGAGGTTAGGTCTCAGAGGGGTACAAATATGGTCTCAATCTGATAAACGCCATGCAGCAGTGAATAAAATAATGGATACATGAGGGCTGACAGAACAAAAAGAGACATCTCTATCCGGGAGAAATTCTCCAGTGATTTAGTGGTTTTAGGGATCACCGAGACACTGTTTCTTATCTTTTTTTTTTTTTTTTTTTTTCCCCTCCCTCTCTTATAAGACTAAAGCCTTCTATAGGATTTAGACACTTTCTCTTTCAACAGATGCTACAATGTTTTGATCCCAGCTCTATAGCTGAGAGGTGCCGCAATTGGTTTGCTATCTTTTTTTGCTTGTTTTCCGCCTCACTGATTAAGACACTAAGAAACTAAGGAATGATTTTATTTCCCAGCGTCTTTTTTTTTTTCTTTTTTTTTTTTTTTTTTTTTCGATCCTATACCCAGCGTCAGATGGTCTGGCTATAGGATAATAGGGACGGACATTCAGTCGCTTTCTTTCGGATTAGGTCTGGAAGGTGGAACAGCCCTATTGAGATCGTTCCTTTTAGGGGCTTTTTTTTTTTTAAAAAAAAAAAAATTTCTGGATGTTATGGAAAGGCTAGATTTAGACTTTCTAACTATTCTTTTGTCAAGACTAAACTGAAACAAAGTTCTACGATTTCTAAAACTCCCCTTTGAAATTTAATACAGCTGGTATAAGCATACTGTCAAACTGTCAAGACAGAAGAAAACAGAATATAAATGGCACTTGCCTTCATAGTACTACATTTAAATATTGACCCAGGCATGTGAATTTAGTAGTTAGAACTTCATTCTCATCTCTACTGGATGCATCAATATACGCATCAACTGCTGTTGTGTTACAACATCACATTGTGGATAGACTGTTTTCATGCAGTAGAGACCCACAGGGCTGCCTAAAACCTCAGCTGAAATCCTGTGTGATTAGCTAGGAGATTTTCATACACAGCACACATTGAGGTATCTTGCATAAGTATTTAGAGCAAGTCACATTCCTAACGGGTCTGATGAACTTAGTAGAGCTTATAGAAATCTAACAAAAAAAAAAAAAAAGGGGGGGGGGCGTCTAAAAAGAAGATATCTTAATTGTCAGGCGCGGGGGTTTTAAATAATCATAAGGGAGTTAAAGTGGAGGTGAAACTTTTAGCTGGCTCAAAGGTTTGGAGGGAGACGGGGAGGGCACGGAGAGGAGGTTGCGAAAAAAAAACAACCCCAAAAGTGGTTGCAAAAATGTAAAAATAATTGAGGGGTGGTGGGAAGGGAAAGGAGGGGGAGGCGGTTCGGGCTCGGCCCTGGGAAGCGCGGACGCGGCTCCGCGGGTGCGCTCCTCTGCCTGGCGCGCACAGTGCGCTGT